CAGGAGGAGGGAGGGAGAGGACTGGGACCCGGGTCTCGCCCTCCGCTGGGCCGCTCCAGATTCCAGGAGCCCTGCAGATATAGGTCCAGCAGGCCATGGGGGGAGCGCCAGTGAGTGACGCGGGAGAACGGGGGCGCTCCGACGCGTCCAGGAGCAGAGGAGGCAGATGAGGGATCGGAGGGAAAGGAGGAAGGCTTCCTGTTCGCTGTGGGTGGGGACGGGGTTTGGAGAGTAGGAGGGAAGGGAGAGGAGGGAGGAGCTTGGAGGAGAAAAAGGTACCCACACCGCTACCCTTCCCTCGTTTTCCTTTGATTGGGCCTCCTAGGCGGCCCTCGTCGCAGCCGTTGGATTCGCTTCACAAGTTTGCTCAGAACGAACACCAGGAGAGGTCCAGGGAGTGGCGGTATCGGTATTTCTTGGTGCCCCCAGGGAGAAGAGGGGAGGAGTGGAGTGGAGGGAGGCGGAGGCGTGGAGGGACGGGAGGGATGGGAGGGAGGATGGAGGAGGGAGCTTTTCTGGGGGGGGGGGTGGAGCCAGGTCGGGGCGCAGAGCTGCGGCGAGAGTGGACCGGGCAGGGCTTCGACGAGAGCTTGGCCTGGGCAGCGGCCGTGAATAGTGACTCGGAGGGTACGCCGGATGCAGCAGTGAAGGTTCGCTGCTCTTCCTTCTCCTCCTCCTGTTCCTCCTCCTCCTCCTCCTCCTCTTCCTCCTCCTCCTCCTCCTCCTCCTCCTCCTCCTCCTCCTCCGGTTCCTCCCTGCCCCTTGCAGCAGTAGTGCGCACGAACCTCCAGGTCGAGGTCGCAGGCAAGGTAAATATAGTGGGCGGCTGGTGCTCAAAGGGTCCCGCAAGTGGGACGAGGTGCACCAAAGTCAGAGGCAGTGATAGAGAGCGGCGGAGAAGCTGCCGAACTGCAGTATCTCTGGAAGCCTCTGTAACTGGTGCCCAGACGTAGCACAAGACCGCTGTGGCCAAGCAGCTGAGGAGCAAGCCCGTACCCGCGTCAAATAAGGCAAGAGACACATAGCAGTTCATAAAAGAGGCCATCGCATGCTGAACAATACTGCCTGGCGGCGGGTGGGAGCGAGGCGAGAGGAGGAAGGAGGATCAATCAGAGAAGCGAGGTCGGTTCTTGGCTGCTGCCTCAGGGAATGTTCGACGGCGTCCCGCGAGCGAAGGCACCTTTTCCTTCATTCGCGGGGGGGCCCGTGCTCGGCCTGGATGGATTTGCGGTTCAGTGGTTCAGAAGCTCTTGGTTGTGGCAACAGGGCCCTGTCACCAGCAGTGGGCGTGGCCCACGAGGGGCCGAGGCAGACCTCGCCACATCCGGGCCTGCCCCGTCGAGGCCATCGGCGGCCGACGCTGTCGTCGGCTGTCCCGGTAAACGTGTACGGGGGGGCGAGGGTCGACGCGGCCCAGCGGCCGGCAGCTGCCCATCCTCCTCCTCCTCCTCCTCCTCCTCCTCCTCCTCCTCCTCCTCCTCCTCCTCCTCCTCCTCCTGCTCCTCCTCGTCCCTCCTCCTCCTCCTCCTCCTCCCTCCTCCTCCTCCTCCTCCTCCTCCTCCTCCTCCTGTCCTTCCTCTCCTCCTCCTCCGCCTCCTTCTCCCCTCCTCCTCCTCCTCCTCCTCCTCCTCCTCCTCCTCCTCCTCTCCTCTTCCTCCTCCTCCTCCTCCTCCTCCTCCTCCTCCTCCTCCTCCTCCTCCTCCTCCTCCTCCTCCTTCCCCTCCTCCTCCATCCTCCATCCTCCATCCTCCATCCTCCTCCTTCTTCTCCTTTTCCACGTGCGACCCGGCTCAAAGGTCGAGCCGTGTGGCAGGAGGGTGCAAGAAGCCGAAGGCACTGGGGACGGGCAGACATTCGTGTCGCCCTGAGCCCCGAGGGAGCGCCCCAGGGCCTGCGCACGACAACTCAATCCGCGTGCGCTGACTAGCAGCGCACCTGGAGGAGGGATCCTGAAGAAGCTCGGGGAAGCAACAGCTGCACCTGAAAACAGGAACTGCGCCTTACGAGGCAATCGACATCAGATGCTGGTGATGGCAGCCAGACGCTGGCAGCTGGGCAGTGCGGATCATGAAAATCATGTGTTCGCGAAGTCTTGAACGGTTCGATAATGTTCGGGTCCACTTCAGACGGTCCGCATTTCTGGGTTCTGAGAGCTCGAAGAGCATGAAGTGGTTCAGACATTCGAAATGAGAGTCAGGAGTGGAGTTATGGCGACTCGGTGATCCCGAAGCCATATGTTTTCACATGCATTCCGACTGCTGCTTCGGATGAGTGCAATGAAGCGGTTGGGTCATGAGGAGGGGCCCTCGCACGGCTCCTCCCTGCGTGCACCTCCCCGTGGACCCTCTGAAAACTGGCAGGGCCGGCGCGGACTCCCCCACCGGTTGGGCCCCCCCCGCCGGGCCCGTCCGCGCCGCGCGCCGCCCGCTGCCCGCGGCGTCGTCGGCGTCGTCGTCGTCGTCGTCGTCCTCGTCGTCGTCGCCGTCGTCGTCGTCGTCGTCGTCGTCGTCGTCGTCGTCGTCGTCGTCGTCGCGGCCCGCCGGTGGGCGGCCTCCTGTGTGACCCCCCCCGTGGACCCCGGCGTGGAGGAGGAGGAGGAGGAGGAGGAGGAGGAGGAGGAGGAGGAGGAGGAGGAGGAGGAGGAGGAGGCGAGGAGGAGGAGGAGGAGGAGGAGGAGGAGGAGCTCCAAAGCTCGGATGTTCGTCGGCGTGAGCTCCGCCGGCGGGCGCCCCTCGGCCCGCCGGTGGGCGGCCTCCTGCCGCCATAGCGGGCCGCGCTTCGCGCTCGGCCCCCGCGGCCGCCGCCGCGCCGAGAGGCTGCCGGGCCTCGGCGCCGTGCCGGGCCGTGAGGCGCGGGCCGTGAAACGCGCGGGCGGCGCGCGCTCGGGCGGGCCGGCCGCGGCGCGTGGAGCGGGGCCACGGGGATCTCCTTTGATCCTCCTCCTCCTCGTCGTCCTCCTCCTCGTCGTCGTCCTCCTCCTCCTCCTCCTCCTCCTCCTTCCTCCTCCTCCGCCTCCTCCTCCCGCTCCTCCTCCTCCTCCTCCTCCTCCTCCTCGTCTTCCTCCTCCTCCTCCTCTCCCCCTCCTCCTCCTCCTCCTCCTCCTTCCTCCTCCTCCTCCTCCGCCTCCTCCTCCTCGTCTTCCTCCTCCTCCTCCTCCTCCTCCCCTCCTCCTCGTCTTCCTCCTCCTCCTCCTCCTCCTCCTCCTTCCTCCTCCTCCTCCTCCTCCTCCTCTCCTCCTCGTCTCCTCCTCCTCCTCCTCCTCCTCCTCCTACTTCTCCTCCTCCTCCTCCTCCTGCTGCTGGCCAGGCTCATCCGGGGCCCAGGAGTAGTGTATACGACCCCCTGGTTTGGCCAAAGAGGCGTATACAGTATTCCTGGCCCCAGGATGGGCCTGGCTTGCAGCAGTGGATATGTATAAATCTCGTCGCCCTAATAAAAACTCTCAGGTCCGCGCGGATTTCTCGGATCGGCACTGGGGCCCCCCGGCGGCGCCTCCAGCGCCGCCCCTGGCGCGCTCCGCGCGCCAGGGAGGGGGGTCCAGCGCCGATCCGAGAAATCCGCGCGGACCTCCGAGTTTCTATGTTTATGTCACTTTTTGTTCCCTCACGAGGGGCCACCACGAGGGCGAAGCGTCCTGGCTCGCCTACAGCCCTACCAAACTATGTTCTAAGAACCTTGTGTGGTTCCCACGAGATGTTCTTAGAACATTCCTTGCAGAGTCTGTCTTGGTTTAGCGCACCAGATTTTTGTTCTAAGAACATTGCTTTGGTTCTTAGAACATTTTTGGGTTCTGAGAACATTTCGTGGTAGGAATATAGGAATGCCGGGACGGTCGGTCGAGGGGCCACCACGAGGGCGCGGAGTGCGTCGCGCGTCGCGGTCTGAGGCCTCGGGCGATCTCAGAGCGAGGCGCGAGTCTCCGAGACAGCCCGAGGGGCCACCACGAGGGCGCGAAGTGCGTCGTTGGCGTCGCGGTCTGAGGCCTCGGGCGATCTCAGAGCGAGGCGCGAGTCCCTCAGACAGGCCGAGGGGCCACCACGAGGGCGCGAAGTTCGTCGCGCGTCGCGGTCAAAGGCCTGGGCGATCTCAGAGCGAGGCGCGAGTCCTTAGTCCTGTTCCAGGGGGGGGGGGGGGGGCGGCGCGAGAACGCGAAGAGGATCGCGCTTCGTGGAGCGCGAAGCGAGAAGGCAGTTGCCCCAGGGGATCCTTGCTACGTTCGGTCGGCCTCCGGAGGCTCCCGCCAGGCTCGAGGGCCGACAACAGAACGATTCAGGACGCCGAACCAGCCCCGGGGAAGAGGTCCAGGCCTCTGGGGACCTCGCATTGAGAAACTCAAGACATCGGATGTCTGGGTCTGTGGATTGGGGTGCGGACGGGAACTTCGGAGGTTCTCCGCGGCTTTCCGGCCTCGGGACGCCTTCCGGCAGCTGCGCCCCGCCGAGGGCGTTCCCGGGGTGCTCGGACTGCCCCGAACGGTTGCCGTGGAGCCGAGTTGTGGCTCGATGCGGTGGGGGCGTTCGTTGAGGAGCGTGCCCTGGAAGCCTCAGACCCTGGAGGATCCCTCATCTCATGAGGGGCGCGGCGATTTTCACGGCCGATCCACGATGGCAGCTTCGGCCGGGCCGTCCAGGAGCGGGTGGCGCGAGTTTCTGCTGGCCGGTTCGGCGGAGTGGGATCGGCGTCACCCCAACATACTTATACTATATGTGCGTGGCCCCCCAGGGGCGATGCGCGCACCGTGAAATCTTATAGTATATGCGTCATGGCGGGCGCTTTCTGGCCACACCGTTCGGGAAACGATATACTACAAGATGGGTATACTGTTTGCTCGAGTCGGACGCGCGCCTCCAAGGAGGACATACAGTATTAGTATGTTCCTGTGCGTCCCATGGGACAGCCTCAAGTCCAGGACTCCCAGGTGGGGTCGGAGCAGGTGAGGTCGGAGGACTGCGCCGCATCGCCGATGCATCGGCGATGCGGCTCGATGTGGGGCCCGAATACATCTGCGCCGACTTCGCGGATGCGTCGCCTACGTCGCCGATGCATCGACGATGCATCGGCTAGGCGGCGCGATCCTCCGACCCCAACTGCTCGGACCCCACTTGGGAGGCATCTATTTTGCGGAGTGGGATGGGCTCAAAGGCTTAAGGGGGACGGCATGTTTGAGGTTCGAGGCCTCTGGGCGGTCTCGCCGGCTCGCTGGCCGGGTTCTGGCCGGGCCGTGAGCCGAAGAGCAAATCACACAGTCAGTGCCGTTGCTTGTTCTTCTAGCGAGGGCGGGTAACGCGCGCGCTTCTGCCGACCGCTTCTGCGGGGTGGGGTGCAGGGTCCCGGGGGGCGGCAGGTTCGTGTTAAGTCGGGCGTGTCCCCCTACAGGGGGTTTTTGGGCGAAAGATTGAAAATATGCAAAAACATACCCCTAAATTGTCAAATACAGAATAAATAGTCCCCAGATTTTGTAATATTTTTTGATTATTTTCCGGGTGTTTTTTATTTCTCGTCGAAAATCCCCCTGCGGGGGGGCACGCCCGACGTGAGGTTCGTGGCTCGAGGCTTTCTCGGGCGCTCTCGTCGGAGCCACCGGGGACGTGCGGGTGGGCGCGGTGGCGAGACGGAAACCAGAGGAGGAAGAGATTCAGGAGGGAAAGAAACACACAGACACAATTCATCGTCGATTCCCCAGAAAATATGGGAAATGGGGGGGAGGACAAAAGCCCAGAAAGTATAGGAAAATATAAGAAATCCTTTTCTTTGTGTGTATTTATTTGTGTGTCTCAGGGCCCCTTCAGAGGTACCGGTGCCGCTGCTCGTCCCAGAGAGCCCTCGTCGCCACGGCCGGCTTCTCCTCGAAGCTCTGGG